ATAACTGCTAATGACATTCGTAAGCAAGACAATCAATCTTTCCCAAATTATAGAACAGAGAATATTCAGAAAATTTCCATGCTAACTTCATGATAAATAATAACAACTCATCCATACTATATTAATCACTTCGTTATTTTTTTCGTTTAAAACATCATTTAGGTACAATGGAGTTTTTTTTTACTGGCATATGTCTTGAACAGTAACAGCCAACATTTAAAAAATGATGCGAGTTATAAGGGTTGTACTTACTCATCTTTTATCGGCTAGTCTGTTTCTGAATGTAGGTTCTTGTTTTTTGATGGATCGCCGAGCTTTACAAAATGTTTAATCATTTTTAAGCTCCAGGCACATTTGAGTACAAAATTAAATCTGTTCTAATCGACGAAACATTTTGAAGGCACCTTGTTCAAAAATATAAGAGAACAAAAAGCACCCGTTATTTTGAAAATGTGTTAGTTCCATTGAAATTTGAGATTATAAATGCATAGAACTCCATGTTTTTCTGGGCAAATCTAACCACACATGCAAAAATTACTCTATACTGACGTTTCGGCAGCCACTGCGGCCCTTTTCAATGTACAAATGATAATCACAATGACAATATATTTTTGTAAATGCATAGTTGTAGCTGATTGCTCACATTTGTTTTTAAACAGCGTCTTATTGCTCGTGTGAAAAAAAAACTTATTTGAAATCCGTGCATTTACAGGGGATTCATTAAAAGAACTTTTTGTCAACGAACAAGTAAAATGGCGTCCAAGTATTGGAAATTTTGTTCATTTTGAAAAGTGAAAATTTTTAAAGTTTTGTAAATTTAGAAAATTTTGAAAATTTTAAAACTAATGAAAAGTTTGAGAATCTTGAGAATTATGAATATTTCGAAAATGTTGGAAATTTTGCAAACTGAAATTTTTCAAAACTGATAATTCTGCAAATTCTAATAATTTAGAAAATTTTGACAATGTTGATATTATGAAAATTTTGAAAAAATGGAAGATATAAAAATTTTGGGAATCATGGATTTTGCAAATTTTAAAATTTTTGGTAATTTATAAAAATTTGGAAATAGAAAATTTTTGAAATTTTAATTGTCTAAATCAATAGATAAATATAAATTTAGCGGCCAACAGAGGTGGCGAACTGGGGCACAGTTCTAAAAATTCTGAAACGTTTGAAAATTCAGAGAATTTAGAAAATTTTGACAATGTCGAAATTATGAAAATTTTGAAAAATATGAAAATTATCAAAATTTTAGAAATCCTGAAAATTTTAGTAATATAAGAAATTTTCAGGATTTTTAAAATGTGAAAATTTTGAAGATCTTGTAAAATTTTGAATATTTTTAAAATCAGAATTTTGGCAATCATTAAAATTGTCAATTCTGAAAATCATGAAAATTTTCGGAAATTCGGAAAATTTTGAAATCTCGAAACTATGAAGAATTTTAAAAAACTGATCTACAAAATTTTTAAAATCATGGATATTTTTAAAATCTTGGAGATTTTTAAAATTCTTAGAATTCTTGAAAATTTTGTAAATTTTGAAAAATTTGAAAACCGAAAATTTTTGAAATTTTGATAATCTTCTAAATCTATAAATGGGATTAGAGCTTTGCGGTTCTGGATCATCATCATATCTATCAAAAGTTTTGCTTTAAAAATTTTTCTTTGTACACTACACTTTTCCGGAAGGCGACCTGAGAATCTACTAGAGAGAGATTACTACCTTGTTCAATGGTGAATAGACCGTATCTACTATACTTCCAGAATCAGCGGCATTCAGCGGTCACAGAGCTGATCCTTCTATCAAATACGGATATCTTACTGTATTTTATAAGAAAAAGAAATAAAGATGGTATATTATTTCCTTGTCTTTAGAGCGCGCCCTAAGTTTCAAAAACTTTCAACAAGCGGTTCATCAGCGGCAAACTCTCTGGTATAAATACATTTCGAGAAGGAGGGGTTAATAGAGAGATCGAGCACGTCGAATTCAAACTTTCAACCTCAAAAGGAGATATGCTCTGATGATTCGCTTTTCTGCTTGTGGCGTTTGTGTATATTGCAAGACTTCACTCGCCCCAGTTCATCTGTATACGGCAGCTATACAGTGCGATTTGATGTAGAATATACATCTCAATAGCCTTGGAATAACTTTGACAGTTGATCTGGGATGCCCATTTAACAAACACACATATATATATATATACTTTGGAACATCTACTAGCCTGGTGTCAAACTAACAATCCAAATGACCGCAATATGAAGTGGATTTAGCTTGCGGACTTGTTCAGAGGGGAGTGCTAGCCTTTGTTAGTTGTGTATTTATTCTGCTAACATTCAAAGTCGTTTATTATTCATTAATTTTGAAGTTTCCGGTTAGTAATTTAAAAAAGCTTTCCTGTATCTGAAAAATGTCAAAAAGTAGCTTCACGTCCAAGTTCACTTTTCGTTTTATTATAAATGATACCTAATGCACTTTGCTTTTCTTCTACATCAACGATCGCCAAACAGCCACTTCCTCGGAATTATTGATGCTATTCAGAATACATTTACGTCAAGATTGATTTATTGGCAGGGGCATTCAAAACACACCCAGATAATGCTATATTATTATACAGCACCAGCGTATAATAACTGGGCCAAGGAAGAACAAACTACAATATGAACAGATTTTCATGTTTCAACATTTGTCAAAGAACGCTGCCGCCTGACTTTTAAACCAGTTAGTGACATGTCACTTTCCAAGCACTTTCCACAAAGAAATTCCTTATAAAAAAATTGAGATGTACCCTTCCACACCCCCAATTTTTGACCCTTACAATGTCTTTTCTCCTCGAACTTCTTGTTCGAACCCGTATGTTACAAAAGAATGTCTATTGAATGAAATCAAAAGGCTTCACCGCAAGCAAACTCGTTTTCCAATACTCTGGTCCATCTGAAACAAGACGCCGGCCAAATGCAATATGCAAAATCCTTTCGTTCTAGAATGAATTCAATTCACGTGTGGTTGACTGTCGATCCCAATATGTCTGGCGTCTCCCGTCTCTGAAAGTGCCAACTATTCTGGTTCTTTGTTTGGACCTAGCTTTATATTTTTTTCGGTCTCAAGGACTGAAAGAGAGCTTAACTAATATTGAAAGTACAGTCACTGCATAAACTTCGACCCTAGATAACTCATAAATAACCCGTAACAAAACAACAACTTTCAAGTTTTTCAAAATTCCCGAAATTTTCAGAATAGTCGAGATTTTAAAAATATTCAAAATCTTCCGAATTTCCAAATTTTCCAGATTTTCAAAATTTTCGGAACTTTCAAAATATCCAAGTCAATTTTTAAATTTTCAAAATTTTCAACGTTGAATTTTTCAAATATTTCAAGATTTCCAAAATTTTCAAAATTACACACTGGTGCTATATAATAATATAACTTTATCTACTTAGGTGTGCTTTGAATGCCACTGCCAATAAATCAATCGGCAATAAATTGCATTAAACTTATAACAAAACAAAAAGGAAACTTGGAAAAGGAAGCTAATTTTGGACATTTTTCAGATACATAAAACCTTTTTTTAAATCACTAACCCAATGTCTCACTCTCTCTGTATATTTTCAAAATTTTCATTTTTCAAAACTTTCAGTTTTCAAAATCCCCGAAATTTTCAGAATAGTCTGATATACAAAGTTTTAAAAACCAAATTTTCCAGGTTTTTAAAATCTCAAAGATTTTCAATTTTTAGAATCTCCTGAATTTTCAAATTTTTCGAAAATTTCAAATCTTCCTAAATCTTGAGATTTTCTAAAATTTTAAAATTTCCCAAAATTTTCAAGATTTTAAAAATTCTTAAAAGTCGCAATTTTTTTTAAAATTCATCTTTCAAAAAATCAAATATTTTGAAAGATTTGGAAATCCAGCAGTTTTCAAATCTTCAAAATTTTCGTTATTTCAAGTGTGACAAATTTTAAAACCTTCAGTTTTAAAAATTCACAGTATCTGCAAAATTTTCCGAATTTTCTAAATTTTCAAAATTTTTTATATTTCTAAAATTTGTTTAAAGAGCTTGAATGTTATTGAAAGTACAGCCACTGCATAAACTTCGACCTTAGAGAACTCATAAATAACCCGTAACAAAATTTTCATAATCTTTATTTTTTAAAACTTCAAGTTTTTCAAAATTCCCGAAATTTTCAGAAACCAAATTTTGCAGATTTTCTAAATTTTTGGAACTTTCAAAATATCTAAGATTTTCAACATTTTCCCAATAAATCAATCGGCAATAAATTGCATTAGGTATCATTTATAACAAAACAAAACGGAAACTTGGACAAGGAAGCTACTTTTTGACATTTTTCAGATGCAGAAAACTTTTTTAAATTACTTACCCAATGTCTCACTCTCTCTGTATATTTTAAATATTTTCACTTTTAAAAATTTTCAGTTTTCCAAAATTCCCCGAAATTTTCTGAAGTCTGATTTTCAAAATTTTAAAAATCCAAGGAATTTTCAAAATTTTCCAGGTTTTTAAAACTTCGAAAATATCAAATTTTTAGAATCTCCTGAATTTTCAAAATTTTTGAAAATATCAAAATTTCCAAAATACTCATATTTTCCAAAATTTTCAAATTTTCCAACATTTTGAAATGTTCCGAGGTTTTCAAGATTTTAAAATGCGCAAATTTTTAAAAATTCAGATTTCAAAATTTCAAATATTTTGAGAAATTTGAAAATCAAAAATTGCTCAAATCTTCAAAAGTTTCATTATTTCAAATTTTAAAACCTTCAGTTTTAAAAATTTTCAAAATTCACAGTATCTTCAAAGTTTCCAAAATTTTCCGAATTTTCTGAATTTTAAAAATTTTCCATATTGTTTAAATTCTCACAATTTTCAAAATTTTGCCTTAAAATCTATCAACAATCTTCTTTCGAACTATGGTTATTCCAGCTAGTTCAAACTGCTTACCATTCGGCATCGAAGTAAATGCTGCTCTTTACCTTTTCAGGAAATATGCTTAGTTTTATTCTTCGGCGCAGAATACCTGGTGAGGCTCTGGTCAGCAGGCTGTAGGTCCAAATACATGGGCTTCTGGGGCCGACTGAGATTCATCAGGAAACCAATATGTATTATAGGTAAGTTTATTATAAGTTTCCTTGGAAACCTTTTTCCTAGATCAACCCTCAAGTTGCGTGCTGTATCATACAAAAATTAAGATCCAGAATGTTCATACCCTTTCTTATTTTCAGACTTGATCGTAGTGGTAGCGTCAATAGTAGTCCTGACGCTAGGTTCGAATGGCCAAGTATTCGCCACTTCTGCTATAAGAGGCATTCGCTTTTTGCAAATTTTGCGAATGCTGCACGTCGACAGACAGGGAGGCACATGGAGGTTACTGGGATCTGTTGTTTTTATACACAGACAGGTAATATTAGGGTTACCAGAGACATTTCCGGTACAAATCAACGGTAGTAATAAATGTATAAAAGCAAATAGATACGAGGGTTGTCTCAAAAATAAGGTTCCTGTATTACCGCGCGTGTTTGACGGTTGCCCCACCAAAGATCGTCGTTGGTGAAAAATCACCAAAGCGTAAGACAACAATGGGCATTCTCATGTTTCACAACAACCGAACGACCTAAATTTAGAGGCTTTTCAAAATTGTCAACATTTTCACAATTTTTAAAATTGTAGAGATTTCAGAATATACATATAATTTTTGAAAATTTTGAAAATTCAAAGAAATTTGAAAATTTAGAAAATTTTGAAAATTTTGATGATTTTGAAAATTTTGATGATTTTGAAAATTTTGAATATTTTGAATATTTTGAAAATTTGGAAAATTTTGAAAATTTTGAAAATTTTGAAAATTTTAAAAATTTTGAAAATTTTGAAAATTTTGAAAATTTTCATAATTTTGAAGATTTTGAAAATTTCATCAATTTCGATAATCCCAAAAATTTCCAAAATATTGAATATTTTTAAAACTTCATAAATTTATTATTCAGACTATTAAATGTAGAAAATTTTGAAAAAATATGAAATTTTCAAAATTTTTAAGATCCTCAAAATTTTCAAAATTATCTAAATTTTCATATCATTTTTTTTCAAAGTTTTCAAAATTTTCAAAATGCAAAAGTTTGAATAATAAATTTTTGAAAGTTTTAAAAATATTCGAAATTTTTAAAATCTAAATATTTTCGTTTTTCTAAGTTTTTAGAGCTTGCGGAATTTTAAAAATATTCGGAATTTTAAGTTTTAAGGAAAAGTGAGCCATTTGAACACATTTGCCAACACGTTTGAATCGCAAGTTATTGCCTATTATGAGTCCTACACCTTAGCGGAGTTATCAATTTTTAATTTAGAACTTTTTACTCATTATAGATAAATTTTGCCTTATATAATTCCTCCCGAACTCACTCAAAAATCGAATTTCGTACGTGCAACGATCAAAGGCTCCACTGCGCATGGCGGTCAGGCCAGTTCTGAGCATCGGCCAATAGGCGCTTGTTGTTGGGATCGGTGCGGGGCAGCCGACAAACACGACGGTGTTGCCGGATTTCGCATAGCATACAATACCTGCTGTAGGAAGTGAAGAGTTAAAATCCAGATCACCTCGTAATCCAACTCTTGCAAGAAAATCGATACAGTCTGTTGTAGTTTTACTCCGCTCACAATGTCTGCTGGAAATTATTTTGAGTACCTATAAAGCTCAGCTTCGTTAAACAAAGAAAAGGAGTGCATTAATTGAGTTTCGCAGTTTACTGATGGAACTTTAGAGAAGTTTTCGTAATGAACTTCGATTTTACTTTTAGAAAATTCTACGAGATTGATATTACCATATTAAAATATTCACAGATGATAGATGACAAAGGAAAATGAGGATCCAGCGCCGGCTGACATTCGTATTTCGCACTAGACTGTGGCGGTTATCATCACAGGCTGTCATCGATGCGGACTGGCAGTAGGATTATATTATTGCTGTTATATGACGTATCACGAGAAAACAAGTCATTTATTCCCGTGGGTCATAACATATGGCTTTATTGGGCAGGCGCGCATTTTTTTATATCGAAGCAGCCGCGCAGGCGAAAGCCTAAATGCCGGAACACCGCGGCTGCTATGATGATCCAAAATAAATTTTGTTAATACGATTTTTGGGCAGTGCTGTAAGGGACAGGATGCGTGGTAAGAAAGAGATCCAGCAGACTACTGGCGTGTGACGAGACGCGGGGAAAAAAAGTAGGGCTCGTCACCAGCTGGGTTAGCTGTTGAGTAAGAGTGAACGCTTCGACTGCACGACCTGCTGCATCGATCTTGTTTGAGCCCAACCAAAGCTCATTATGGACATTGAAATCACCGAGAAGAACTACCTCTGAAGCGGGGTGATTGATGTTCAGGAAGTCGATCTGGACGGCGAGGTATTCGAGTAGCTCATCCCAGTTATGGTCCGAGGGAGAGCGATAAAGGCAACAAATAAATTTGGGTGATGTTTTGGAGTTGAGGCGAAGCCACAGAATGTCCTTCCAGTCTGATTCCAAAGAAACATCTCTGGAGCAGGAAGGACTGATGTTGTTCCCTCGAGCCCACCTTCCACCCGGACATTCCGAGAGTGGAGTGAGTTTTTTTGCAGACACCCTGTATAATTAACGTTATTTTTTGTAATTTCGGTAATTCATGACTCTTTTGTATATCCTAACATGTCCAAGTACGTCTCGCCAGTCAAGTTTCCAGGAAGAAAGAAAGCTCCCAGAATACGACTTCCGAAAATGCCGGCCAAAACATTTATCATTTCAGGATATTGCGAGTGTGTTGCGATTGAGTTGCAGTTGCTAGTCGCTCTCGGTGTGGACGGTGTTTAAGATACCGAAATTCTAGCAAAGATCGATACAGCGATTCGGTCCACTTTATATTCACTTACGAGTTTGATAAACTCTTTGAGTTCACAAAAGGGCGGATTGACAAAGCAACCCCTTCGGAGGTGGTTCAAACACAAACGTACAGTAAAAATACTTTTTCCAAGAACAATTTAATTGAAAGCGAGCAACTTTTGTTTTATTCGGTGCGTTTTGTAAGAAGGAACAATACAAAATGCTGAATAAAGGGAAATGTCCACTTTGTTACTAAATCGATTTTCTCGAAGAAAGTTATAAAGTGTACAGCCCTTATACAGGATGATTCACTAGTCGTGACCAAAAATGAATCATCATACGCATTCTGACATTTTTTCCTCGAGGGTGTTGAAGTTTAAAAATAAAAAACATTTTTTTTAATATCTTCAAAACCGTCAACTGGAATGAACTAAAATTTGGTATGTGGATTTATTAAAGTATTTTCCACATTCAAAAATATTTATTTAAAATTAATGTGCCCCGGTAGCGAAGATACAGGGGATTAGCGGCATTATCTTTCAAAATAAAAATAGTACGCCACTGTTTTTTTTTTTCGAAACGCGCAAGTTTTCGAATTTCATTTTCAATTTGCGTATGTTCTTTCCTAGAGTAAACCTAAAATAAAAAACAAATTAAATAATCAAAGCCTATTTACTTTCAATAAACGTTTGATTTGATGAAACGCATTATCTATTCTTCTTTTGTTAAAATTGTTTTTAATATTCTAGTGCTAGTTATTTTCAAGGGTTAAGTGGAAGAATAGCTTGTAGATAAACTTCGCCTGAAATAAAAGTCACTTATTATTATTATACATAAAACGGTGATTTCCATATTGGATCGTAGGAATTGATCACGACCCTCTACATCGGCTTTCTGGGCCTGATCTTCAGCAGCTACTTCGTCTACCTGGCAGAAAAGGACGCCGTGGAAGAAGGTGAAGGTAAAGGCAGTGGCAGCTTCTCCAGCTACGCGGACGCCCTCTGGTGGGGGGTGATCACAGTCACCACCATCGGGTACGGAGACACAGTGCCGCGCACCTGGATGGGCAAGATCGTCGCGTCTTGCTTCAGCGTGTTTGCTATCTCTTTCTTCGCGCTTCCAGCGGTAAGTTCAGGTTCAATCATCTTGAAGTTTTTCAAAATTTTCAATATTTTCAAAACTTCCATTATCAGTTTTCAAGATTTTCATAATTTTCCGAATTTTCAGAATTTTCAGACTTTTCAGACTTTCCAGACTTTTCAGACTTGTCACACTTTTCAGACTTTTCAGACACTTCAGACTTTTCAGACTTTTCAAACTTTTCAGAGTTTTCAGACTGTTCAGACTGTTCAGAATTTTCACACTTTTCAGACTGTTCAGAATGTTCAGACTTTTCAGACTTATCAGACTTTTCAGGCTTTTCAGACTTTTCAAACTTTTCAGAGTTTTCAGACTTTTCAGACTTTTCAGACTGTTCAGAATTTTCAGAATTTTCAGAATTGTCAGAATTTTCAGAATTTTCAGAATTTTCAGAATATTCAGAATTTTCAGAATTTTCAGAATGTTCAGAATTTACAGAATTTTCAGAATTTTCAGAATTTTCAGAATTTTCAGAATTTTCAGAATTTTCAGAATTTTCAGAACTTTCAGAATTTTCAGAATTTTCAGAATTTTCAGAATTTTCAGAATTTTCAGAATTTTCAGAAATTTCAGAAATTTCAGAAATTTCAGAAATTTCAGAAATTTCAGAAATTTCAGAATTTTCAGAATTTTCAGAATTTTCAGAATTTTCAGAATTTTCAGAATTTTCAGAATTTTCAGAATTTTCAGAATTTTCAGAATTTTCAGAATTTTCAGAATTTTCAGAATTTTCAGAATTTTCAGAATTTTCTGAATTTTCAGAATTTTCAGAATTTTCAGAATTTTCAGAATTTTCAGAATTTTCAGAATTTTCAGAATTTTCAGAATTTTCAGAATTTTCAGAATTTTCAGAATTTTCAGAATTTTCAGAATTTTCAGAATTTTCAGAATTTTCAGAATTTTCAGAATTTTCAGAATTTTCAGAATTTTTCGGAATTTTCGGAATTTTCAGAATTTTCAGAATTTTCAGAATTTTCAGAATTTTCAGGATTATTAAAATTATCAGATAGAAGTCAACGTTCCAATGGCAAATTCGTTTCTACAAATAAAAAATGCCTCGTGCATGAGAAAAATGTGGGATTCATATCGTGTCTAGACTTTATTAGTTTTATTACTAAGGTACACAGATACAATATATACTCACTGACTTTAGAAGTGTTACACCCAGGAAAAATAATTTTTTCAACTTGATTTTTTGGCAATGAGATAATCTTACATCCTGTATATTGGATCATTTTAATATTTAGGTACATGTATTGTTAATAAACTAAAATTTTGAGGATCACTACGAATGCATTATTTCAAAAATTGCCAAAAAAACAAAATACTTTTATATGGCTTCTCATAGTCTCAGTATATATTCCAAATAAAAAGTTTATAGTACAATAGTTGCCCTACCGTATTTATTATACAGGGTGTTTGGTGCATCGTTTGCCAAATTGAAATGGCGGACAGGGGAGGTCTTTTTCTATCACCCCAGGTCCCTCAAACAGTTTTTAGCCCAACAGCATTGATTATGTAGATTTTTTAATTTTTTTTAGTAAAAACTCCAAAATGTAATACACAAAGAGAAATAAAAAAAAATAAAGAGTATGTCCACCAAATTATTACGTAATTTACCTTAATGGGTGATGTTGTACCAATCTTACAAAATCAACGTTACTTGCCAGCAGCATGTAGTTTTTTATTTATAAACTCACAAACGGTTACAAAGAAGAACAAAAAAATGTAAGTCTCAATTTCTGTAAAAAAAAACTAAAAGCGTTCACGTTCTTAGAATTCTTTTAAAAACTACTCTGGTTTATCCTGATTCTAACGGTATGCCACATGTCACAAAAAAGTTTAACGAACTTATTGAATTTGCAAATTTTGTGTACAGGAAGGAAAATAAAAAAACGTGTAAAATCAAATTTCAATCATTTATAATTTTTTCTGTTTTACAAATCATGTTCGAATTGTTGTCCTCTATTGCGATGCACCAAACACCCTGTATTGTTCAACTATCTCATAGATGTGAATTTTGTTATTTAAAGTATCTGTATGTTACGAGTATGCAATTGTTGTAGTTTTTTAAAAGAATGTGATTATAGCAAAAAAATCTTAAATAAACAAACAAAAGGATACGAAAACAATACGAAATCCGGAATAACCATCTAGACAGCCGGGCATTAACGTGAGTTTTCTTTCAGGGCATCTTGGGCAGCGGCTTCGCCCTGAAAGTCCAGCAAAAGCAGCGTCAGAAGCACTTCAATCGACAGATTCCCGCGGCCGCGATGCTCATCCAATGCTTGTGGCGCTGCTACGCCGCTGACAAGTCCTTCAACTCGACCGCCACGTGGCAGGTGTATCTAGGGGAAAACGGAAGGGAGGGGGGAAGCGGAGGTGGCATCGGAGGCGGAGCTAACGGTGGGGGAGGGGCTCAGATGGGCGGAGCCACAGGAGGCGGGATGCCGATCAGCAAGGTGGGTGGTGTTACGCTTTGGCTAATTGGGGCATTTCACGTGAACGGGGCAGGGAAAGAAAAGTGAGGTTTAAAAATTCCTGTATATTATAATCGAAAATAAAAAAGTTAGCGAAGTTGAACAAATATTGATCTGAAATGTTCCGGTATAGTGCCTTAAGTTTTTCTTTGGTTTGGTTTTCTATCAAAAAAAGAGATATTCGTAAAAGCTTCTCAATTCGAAAAAATTCAATTTCCAAAAATGGCTTCTCTTTCGAAGCCCGTGCCTTAGCAAATGAACGTGCTACGAAAAAAAATCGTGTTTTCTCGTTCACACTTACTAGATGTTTAAACAGGTCCAATATGAACGAATTTTTAAACCTCTATTTTCGCGCTTGTGCTTTGCAGTTACACCAATGGAAATAGACGAATGAGTGAATAAATATCCAAATAAAATACTCAGTAAGTTAAAGATATTAGATAATTCTCTACATCAATACAAGGTGTTTTCAAAGTTGAGTCATTTATTTTAATTGCTTGTAAGACTCGTCAAAAATCACCTATATAAAAGTTGGATAATAAAAGAAATAGTAAAAAATTACAAATTCAATGTATAGGTATACAGAGTGAACAAGATACTTTTGAGTCTAATTCCAATGCTATATCGTATTAGGTGTGCTTGTCTATCAGTTGCTACATTGTTGTATGTCACTGTTGTTACGATTCGCTAGCAGCGCCAGAAAATGCTTTAAACGATACGCTCTAGGTTAGAAAGAAAGGAAAGTTGCATGTAGTGTTGTATTTTGCAACACTTTAAATCCAAGTAAAAATAATCTTAATTCTGTAATATCCTCAACTTTACCTTTGAAGCACATGGGCGAAAGAGCATCAGTGACTTTTTGTTCTTTCTAACCCAGATAGCGATGCCTCTCACATGAGAGACCTTTTTTGCATACATCAAACACGGTGTTGTATTTTATGGCAACTTAAAACAATCATACTAACGAAAATGTTTATACAAACTTTTTTATAATAACGAAAACATATTTTTTCCACGCTTTTTTGTCCATTGGTGTTGTTGGTCCCCGTACTTTTGTGTCAGTTCCTATAGAACTGTACAATTAGAGAGGGACAAGCTTTATGGTTTCATGATTCCGTGCTATTCTGTCATTAGATTGCTTTATGACAGTTTGTCGTAAATTCACTAGTATGCACATTTTATGAGTTAATCGCGTGCGACTTTGAAAATCAATGAATATTAGAATACTTAATTGTCTATCACACCAAGCGTAGTAGCAGAGGTTGAGTCGCTCTTTGGGATCCTCACAGACCACTGAAGATTATATAGATATGATTCTCGTTTCTACTACTAGGGTTTTCAAACCTTTCAAAATTATCAAATATTTCAAAAAATTTCCAAGGATTTTAAGCATTTCAAATATTACGAGCATTTCAAGAAATTCGAAAATCTCAAGCATTACAACAATCTTAGAAAAACCAAAACAAACAAAGATTTGAATCAAATCAAAATACCTATATTTAAAAATCTCAATATTTTCAGAAATTCCAAAAATTGCATTTTAAGAAATTCACGAAATGTGAAATCCTAGACCTTGAAATTTAGAGATCTCAAATATTTCATTGATTTTCAAGAATTACCAAATATTTAAAAAAAAATGCAATTTTCCAAGCCGCAAACAGTTCAAATATTTCAAAAATTTACATCTAATAGTTCAAGCATTTCATAATTTCCAAACTTTTCAGAATTTTTAGGAATAACAAACTGCTTAAAAATTTCAGGATCATAAAAATTTGCAGGAATTCAAGAGTTTCATGAATCTCAAAAATTTCAAATATTCAAGCACTAGATAACAAAACAAAAGTTTTTTCATATATCTAAGATGTACTGAATTTTTAGTACCTAATATTTTCAAAATTTGTAACATCATCAAAGGTTTCAGAAGATTCAAAATTTTAAAAATTTCCAAGATTTTTAAACTCATCGTGATTTTCAAAATTTTAATTAACTTGGGAACATCTCCAAAGTATTTAAAAATGTACAATATTTTTAAAATTATGAAAATTTTCATTATTTCCGGCCAATCTAAAGCTTTCTATATTCAAAATTTTATTCTTTAATTTTTTTTAGAAATCTCAAGAATAACAGAATTATGAAAGCTTACAGGAATTCATGCCTCAAAAATTTAAAATATCCATGGATATAAAAAAATTTCAAAATTCGGAACATTTTTAAAGGTTTACTAAATTTTTTAAATTTCTAATTTTCTCAAAATTTTTATAATTGCCTTTTCCAATTCTATCAAAAATGTTCTGAACTTCCAAATTTTTTTTAATTTCCATACTTTTCAAAATTTTAATTGTTTTCAAAGTTTCCACAATTTTCAAAATCTTTCTCAAAATTATCAAACTTTAAAAAATTCTTAATATTTTCAAATTGTTTGAAATCTTGAAAAGATTTCACAATTTTCAAAATAAAAATTTGTGGAATTCCCATAACTTTCAAAATTTTCAGTGTTTTCAAAGTTTTTCCCATTTTTTAAATTTCGAAAATTTTCAAAATTTTCAAAAAATTTACGATATCCAAGATTCTTAAAAATTCCCAATATTTTCAAATTGTTCAAAGTTTTCAAAATCTTCGAAATTTTTTAAATTCCCGACGATATTCAAGATTGTCTAATACATATTTCAAAATTTCCAAAATCAAAATTTTTAGAATTCCCGTAATTTTCAATATTTCCAATATTTCCAGTGTTTTCAAAATTTTCAAATCTCAAAAATTTTCAATATTTTCAAATTATTCGAAATTATAAAACTTTTAAAAGTTGAGGATATTCTAGATTTACCAGAACATCAAAATTTCCACAATTTCCAGATTTTTCAAAATTTCCATTATTCTCAAGATTTCCTGATTTTGAATATTTTCAATATTTCCGGTATTTCTAAAATTTTCTATATTCGAAGATTTTAATACTTTTCAAAATTGTTAAAATCGTGTTTTTCAAAATTTTAGTCGCAAGCCGTTAACACATAGCAACCTTTAGGCTAGGCTTAGTTATAGCATTGCAGAACATATGGATGTAAAATCGGTGTTATACGTGTATCTACTGTGTCGGGTCGGCAGTCCCTGATATTGCAGGTCGCCAAGAAGGCTTCGGTTTTGAAAAGGAGGAAGTCCCGGAACCGGATGGACCCTGCCGCGGCGGCTTCCAGAACGGAAGCTAATACCCCCGGTACTGAGACGCCGAGCGGAGACGCGCCGGGAGTGGGAGCAGCTGGAACCACCCAGCCTAACCGGGCGCTGTCCGATACGGATGTCGTTTTCTATATGGAGGAACCCAAAGCAGGTAGGCTAAGGAATTTCTCATGACCTGTGAATTTCAACTCCTACACGACTAACGCTTTCACACAAGGTTACTTCTATTCCAATGACGGAAAAGCTTTGTAGTTTTTGAAAATCGTTCCAGTGGCGACAGAGGAAAATGCTAAAAACAAGAAATAAAAATCGGTCCTAGTTCGTTTTTTGATGTTCCAGAGGATCCTGTTTATTTTTAAAAAGGTTTGGGGGGATATTATAGGTACGTATCGCAATTTCTTAGCGGTAATACATTTAGCAACTTCCAACTGCAGTGATTCCAAATATTCAAGTATTTCATAGATAACGAAAAAGGTTCCTCCCAAAAATTCAGAATATTTTTATACATGTATAGACAATATTTTCAACAATTTCAAAATCTTCGAATTTTGTAAAATTTTAAAAATTTTCCAAATTAACAAACATTTCTGAATTTTCTAAATTTTCTAAATATTCTAAATTTTCTAATTTTTCTAATTTTTCTAAATTTTCTAAATTTTCTAAATTTTCTAAATTTTCTAAATTTTCTAAATTTTCTAAATTTTCTAAATTTTCTAAATTTTCTAAATTTTCTGAATTTTCTAAATTTTCTAAATTTTCTAAATTTTCTAAATTTTCTAAATTTTCTAAATTTTCTAAATTTTCTAAATTTTCTAAATTTTCTAAATTTTCTAAATTTTCTAAATTTTCTAAATTTTCTAAATTTTCTGAATTTTCCAAATTTTCTAAATTTTCAAAATTTTCAAAATTTTCAAAATATTGGTAATTTTTAAAATTTTCAAAATTTCCACAATTTTCATAACTTTCAGAATTTTCAAAATTACCAAAATTTTCGAAATTTTCAAAATTTTCGAAATTTTCAAAATTTACAAAATTTTCAAAATTTTCGAAATTTTCAAAATTTACAAAATTTCCAAAATTTTCAAAATTTTCGAAATTTTCAAAATTTTCAAAATTTTCAATATTTTTGATTATTTCAAAATTTTCAAAATTCTCAAAATTTCAAATATTTTCAAATTTTTTAATATTTCCAAAATTTTCAAAATTTCCAAAATTTTCAGAATTTTAAAAATTTCCAAAATTTCCACATTTCAAAATTTTAAATGGTTACACTTTTCTAATCATTTTAGAAGAAGCGTATAAAGTATTTGTACCGAAAAAGACGTTACAGCTGAAATTTTGAAATTTTCCCCGCTATTTGGATTTTTTAAAGGTACTCCGAATAGATTTCGCCGAGGAGAACGGGAGAGTGCTAGAGGCGCCATCTTCACAAGTCAGACCAGCACTGTAACTGAGGCTGCCAGTGACGATATTGATGACTTGGACGCTGAGCTGCCTAGGGTGACACAGTAAGTACCAACATGATCTAAAACTTCATTAACAAGGATAAAGTCGAACTTAAAATTGCCCACAATTTGCACTTCAGGAATTAAAAATAGATGGATTTCAAATGACATTGATGGTCATGGTTCTTGTTCCAAAAATAGTGGCGTCCATTTAAGAAAACTATGTTGACCTTCGAATGGGTTTGAAGGTCATAGTGTATTTTGCATATTTTGAACTAAAACTTCTTGATCAAGGCAAAGTTTGCAAAAAACGTCAGCCAGAGTGACGACTGCTACTTCTGTTCGTGAGATGTCAAAGGGCTCAACTCCATTCCATATCATACCCAAATCTCCCCTCAGCTATTCGTCCTCTTCCTCGTGATGCAGAAATACCTGTTCCAAAAACCCCTGCTACGTTGGGAGGAATACCAGACTCAGATGAAGGTGAAGTACAACCTCAAGACGATCAGTTCTGACTTTGAAGATGACACTAGACCAAAATTCTACTCCCAGGAATAGATAAATGATTTGGATGCTTGCTTGGATCACGACTCAATGATAAAAATTTATTACTGCCTGGAGTGTCTTTTTCTTGGTTCAGACATCGTGAAAAGAATTATTTTTCCAAAGAAGAAAATCTAGGTTATTGAAATGATATTGAAGGTTTGACGGTTCAATTCAGAATCCAGTATGAATCCAATCAATGGCGTGGTTTCTATGCTTCTATTCCCGTTGAACATTCTGTGTTCTTGAAACAGACCTATGAGGACTGGGAAGTGATTTTTCAAAAACTCAAATATGAAGATCGTGGTTGGCAAATGTGTGGTGATTGGAAGAGCTTGTGCGTGCTGCTGGGTCAACAAGTTGGTTTCCTTGTTTTTTTTATGCCTATTGGACAGTCGAGACCTTAAAATTAATAGTTGGTAGAGAGTTGGGAGCCAAGGATGCTTACAATGTTCTGCGAGGAAACCACCAGAAGAAGTTCTCTTTCCTCCAGTTCATATAACGCTAGGCCTTCCGAAACAGTCCGTTCAATCTCCCTCAAAAGAGGGAGAATGCTTCAAATACCTGATTAAAAAGTTCCCAGGTGTTTCGGAGGCGAAATTAAAAAAAGGTGCATTTGATGGGCCAGATATCAGAGAGCTCCTAGCGGATCAGGACGATGACAGATCTCCAGAGAGAAGGATGGTTTGTATTTGAAGATGTTGTGGCGGAATTTTCGGACAACAATAAAGATCCTGATTATAAAATTATAATCAAAAGGATGCTAAAATCTTTCAAAGAATTGGGTAATTTCATGAGACTGAAGGTAAATTTTCTTAAATCCCAAGTGGACTATGTTCCTGAGAATTCAGAAGCAGTGAGTGAAGAGCAAGGGGACTGTTTTGATCAAGACATCAAGGAGTTCGCTAACTCATTTGTACTGAAAAATAAACATAAACATGGCTTCAAGTATTTTTAAATGCACTACTTATACAGGGTGACTTTGAAGTTGAGTCATTAATTTTCAGATAATGATTATAGAAGGAAGATAAACCAAAATATGTGTGTAAAAATAAAAAAAAAATTAAAAAAAAATGTTACCTTGTTTCATAAAGTATCCTCCCGACAAGTATTTCAGTGCGGACCTGTATTTGATCGTGCGGTCTTGGAGCACCGGCATGCCCTCCCCTGTGAGGTCTTAAGTCACCTGATTCACGAGCCCTTTGTACTACATTAACAAAGGCACGAGGGGTTGGTTGCACTCGATTGGGAAACCGATCCGCATAAATCCGTGATGCCGCGGCAGCATTTTGTAAATAAGAATCATGTCCACAAGTTCAGCATTTTCGTAAACATGTGCCATTTTTTATTTCGTTTGAGTCACGCAACAAACACCACTATTCACTCATGCGTCACCGACTGACACATTGACTGAATACAACTGAATAAAATTGTAGTAAAAACATCGTGATAAGCGTTTCAAATTCTTTCGCTTTTTTGTTTCCGATGCGATGAACCGATAAGGCGGATTACATCCGTTGTTGCCAAACACGAGCACATAATATTATTATTGAGACAGGGCGGTACTCAAACTTCTAAAGGGCTATAACTTTGTTACTTTAATTTTACCAGTAAAATGTTAAAGGTAAAAAACATTTCTTTTGATCAGATCTACTCACTGTTAAAATAAATGACTCAACTTCGAAGTCACCCTGTATATCTTACGAGTAATGCAATTGATATACAATTTGTGAAAGAACGTGATGTGCTATGGCAAAACGGAGTGAACTTTTAGATTCAGTACGTCACAAACAATATGAACCAGCTTTTCAAAAAAAAATATGCAGAACTGCGTTATTTAACCACATAAGTTAGCTGTACAATTTTGAATTTTATGCTTCCAAGCGCATGCTAGTAAAACATGGAGATTTAATTTTGACTGGTGCAGCGTAATGCTAGTAATAAACGAAAATAGCATTCACGTAATTCCCTAGATGTTTCCAGTTATTTCGACCATAAATTGTGAGTAGAATCGAAAAATTTTTCATTCGCTAATAAAAGCTGGCACGTCCGATAACCGTTCCCCATTACACAGAATTCTGCAATATCCATTTTTACAACTCGAGCATCTTTTTATAGCCGTTGATAATGGACAGCGGCGTTCCGGATACGAAGTTCTGTCACTTCCGGTGGGATTGGTTAATGCTGAAAATACATTCCTGATAAAAATAAATTCGAACTGCTTGGACCGATAGTGGCATAACCTGCGAGGCATTCAGAGTTGAAGTTGCATGATCAAACGAAAATTACCTGTAAGTGATGTGAAGGCCTCGTCGCAGTAAATAGAACAGGTGTAGTACCCCATTTTCCTGCCAAACGCACGAGTTCGGAGCGTACACGCAGGGAAAGAAAGCAGCTCACCGCCTCCTCTCCGGCCCCTGGCCTACGAACTCTAATTTTCTTCAAAGCCAAGTTTTTGCAACAATTAGGTGGTACATAGCGAGAGAGTGAGCTATTCGCTTCAACGAGGCCTTCACATAATTAAGATCGAGCATCACTTACTGCTAGGTACGTTTGACCATGTAATTATGTTCCGGCCTCGTCTCGTAAATAAAACAGGTGTAGTACCCCGGTTCCCGGCCAAACCCACGAGTTCAGAGCGAGCACTTAGGGAAAAAAAGTGGCTCATCGCGCCCTCCCACCTTCTTCCTCTCCGGCCCCTGGCCTGCAAACCCTCGTTTTCTTCAAAACCAACTTTTTGCAACAATTGGGTGATACATAGGAAGAGAGGGAGCTATTTACTTCGAAGAGGCCCTCACACAAGTAAGATCGAGCATCACTTACTGGTAAGTTCGTTTGACCATGTAATTATGTTCCGGCCTCGTCTCGTAAATAAAACACGTGTAGTACCCCGGTTGCCGACCAAACCCACGAGTTCAGAGCGAGCACGTAGGGAAAAAAGTGGCTCATCACGCGCCCTCCCACCTTCCTCCTCTCCGGCCCCTGGCCTGCAAACTCTCATTTTCTTCAAAACCAACTTGTTTGCAACAATTTGGTGATACATAGGAAGTGAGGGAGCTATTTACTTCGACGAGGCCCTCACACAATTAAGATCGAGCATCACTTACTGATAAGTTCGTTTGACCATGTAATTATGTTCCGGCCTCGTCTCGTGAATAAAACAGGTGTAGTACCCCGGTTCCCGGCCAAACCCACGAGTTCAGAGCGAGCACTTAGGGAAAAAAAGTGGCTCATCGCGCCCTCCCACCTTCTTCCTCTCCGGCCCCTGGCCTGCAAACCCTCGTTTTCTTCAAAACCAACTTTTTGCAACAATTGGGTGATACATAGGAAGAGAGGGAGCTATTTACTTCGAAGAGGCCCTCACACAAGTAAGATCGAGCATCACTTACTGGTAAGTTCGTTTGACCATGTAATTATGTTCCGGCCTCGTCTCGTAAATAAAACACGTGTAGTACCCCGGTTGCCGACCAAACCCACGAGTTCAGAGCGAGCACGTAGGGAAAAAAGTGGCTCATCACGCGCCCTCCCACCTTCCTCCTCTCCGGCCCCTGGCCTGCAAACTCTCATTTTCTTCAAAACCAACTTGTTTGCAACAATTTGGTGATACATAGGAAGTGAGGGAGCTATTTACTTCGACGAGGCCCTCACACAATTAAGATCGAGCATCACTTATTGGTAAGTTCGTTTGACCATGTAATTATGTTCCGGCTTCGTCTCGTAAATAAAACAGGTGTAGTACCCCGGTTCCCGGCCAAACCCACGAGTTCAGAGCGAGCACGTAGGGAAAAAAGTGGCTCATCACGCGCCCTCCCACCTTCCTCCTCTCCGGCCCCTGGCCTGCAAACTCTCGTTTTCTTCAAAACCAACTTTTTGCAACAATTGGGTGATACATAGGAAGTGAGGGAGCTATTTACTTCGACGAGGCCCTCACACAATTAAGATCGAGCATCACTTATTGGTAAGTTCGTTTGGCCATGTAATTATGTCCCGGCCTCGTCTCGTAAATAAAACAGATGTAGTACCCCGGTTCCCGGCCAAACCCACGAGTTCAGAGCGAGCACTTAGGGAAGAAAAGTGGCTCTTCGCGCCCTCCCACCTTCCTCCTCTCCGGCCCCTGACCTGCAAACTCTCATTTTCTTCAAAACCAACTTTTTGCAACAATTGGGTGATACATAGGAAGCGAGAGAGCTATTTACTTCGACGAGGCCCTCACACAATTAAGATCGAGCATCACTTACTGATAAGTTCGTTTGACCATGTAATTATGTTCCGGCCTCGTCTCGTGAATAAAACAGGTGTAGTACCCCGGTTCCCGGCCAAACCCACGAGTTCAGAGCGAGCACTTAGGGAAGAAAAGTGGCTCTTCGCGCCCTCCTACCTTCCTCCTCTCCGGCCCCTGGCCTGCAAACTCTCGTTTTCTTCAAAACCAACTTTTTGCAACAATTGGGTGATACATAGGAAGTGAGGGAGCTATTTACTTCGACGAGGCCCTCACACAATTAAGATCGAGCATCACTTATTGGTAAGTTCGTTTGACCATGTAATTATGTTCCGGCCTCGTCTCGTAAATAAAACAGGTGTAGTACCCCGGTTCCCGGCCAAACCCACGAGTTCAGAGCGAGCACGTAGGGAAAAAAGTGGCTCATCGCGCCCTCCCACCTTCCTCCTCTCCGGCCCCTGGTCTGCAAACTCTCGTTTTCTTCAAAACCAACTTGTTTGCAATAATTGGGTGATACGTAGGGATATAGGGAGCTATTTACTTAGACGAGGCCTTCACACAATTAAGATCGAGCATCACTTACTGGTAAGTTCGTTTGATCATGTAAGTAGGTTCCGGCTTCGTCTCGTAAATAGAACAGGTGTAGTACCTAGATTCTCGGTCAAACCCACGAGTTAGTAGCGCGTAAGCGGGGAAGAAAAGTGACTCACCGCGCCCACCCACCTTTCTTCTCTCCGGCCCTGGCCTGCAAACTATCGTTTTCTTCATGGCCAAGTTTTTGCAACAATTAGGTAATACATAGGGAGAGAGGGAGATATTTACTTAGACGAGATAGACGCGTCCCATGTTTTGTGGGCTGTGACCCACCTAGACCAGTCTCTGTGCTGAAACAGACTATCGATCTACATATTTTTGTTTATAAATAAGGCCAAAGCATGCAGTCGAACATAAGCTATATGAAATAAAGGTCAGTTTGAATTAAATTGATTTTAATTAATTTGTTGTATTGTTCGTAGCCTAGCAGGGCAAGCTTCATTGGTACAAAGTTCTAATCCTCAATAAAGCAACCCTGTATTTCTATCCTTAGGGTCCGTTCTTTCGTCTTTTCTCCGTCTTTAGTGTTGTGTTTCCTTTTCAGGCTAACAGAGGCGCATAAAAACGCTATTCGAGCCATCAGGAAGATTAAATATTTTGTGGCCCGCAGGAAGTTTCAGCAGGCTAGGAAACCGTACGACGTGAGAGACGTTATTGAGCAATATAGCCAGGGGCACTTGAATATGATGGTGCGGATTAAGGTGAGTCTACACGTTTATGCACGGAACTTGTTTCAAAAATAGGGTTCCTAAAGCTGTATCTTGGGATAAGTTGTGCCAAAAATTAATCCTTTACTTACTCAAACTCTTTATCTTCTGTTAGCTGTTGCAGTCCAGTAAAAATGTTGCAATCAAAGTGCACCAAGCTATACAGGGTGTAAACGTTATGGTAGTCAGTAGATTTTCAGCCAAATGGCTTTATAGTTTACAACCTTAGGTGCTTTATATCGACCACAATCACCACAATCTTACTAATTTTTATAATCCAATCTAAAACGTTTTTAAATTGGGTAATTAACAAATAAATGGCATTAAGTTTTTCTAAGCTAAGCCAAAATTTGTAGTCAGTAAGTAAGTTTCATTAAATTAAATATTTAAAACACACATGACAACAGCGCGTCGGTCATTCATCACTCTTATCGAACCGGCAATCTTGACGATCAGGAGAAGGATACCTTAGCTTTCTAGCCAATAACCAACCAGAACTTTGGGAACAGACCTTAAACAACATGCCATTACAACGGAAACAGAATTTGTGGTTTCTTAATGACGGGGCACCACACATTTTTAGAGGCGTCATTCAGTATTTGAATGTACATTATCTAAATCGCTGGATCGATCGAAATGCTCAGGATCCTCGAAAATGGCCAGCAAGATCTCCTGACCTCAATCCGATGGATTTCTGGTATTGAGGAGAACTTAAAGGGGTGGATTATGGGGCTGGTCCAATAACAACTAAAGCACAACTTCGCGAATAAATTTTTAATGTTGCTGAAATAATAAATGGACAACTTCGAGGATCTAGAGTCAGAAGAAACTGGGTTCGTCGTAATGACATTTTGAGCACCTTCTTTAAATACAAAAAAAGTGCAGTGTGGTTTCTATGTTATATGATATATCACCCATTTAAATAGTGACTATCATAACGTTTACACCCGGTATTTCTGAAACATCCTTCATACGCTCCACATGTGGAATAATTCTAGGTCTCAATCCCGCTTCTGATTGCAAATCCTCGAGTGAAAAACAGCGAGTAAATGAGGCGCTCGCCTCTTAAATGCCTCTAGTACATTGTTGAGTATCGTGAAGTGCCTAAACGAAAAGTTCTCGAGCAGCTGAAAGTTGGGAGTTTTGATTGAACGACGCGTTCTCTCGTTCTCGTCATTTTTCTTTTCGTCCTAAACTGCTGGCCATCCGAGTTGAGAATAACATTTTTTTCTTAATCTCACGGATTGTGAGTTTTAAATTTACTTATAATGTGTTGATTTTAACTGTGTCAAAATTTTATCTGTAACTATATTCAAACGGGAAAAACTTTTATAAATATCAAAATCCTGAACATTTAGTTAAGTTACAAAAAATCGGACTACTATGATTCCAGGGAAACATTATTCTAAAAGGTAACCATATATGTAATGTGTGAAACTTTAAATGCCATATCTAATTATCGTGATATATACTAAGTGACATATAAATCCGAACACCCAGTTTAAATGGTTTTATTTTAATAAAATTTTGTAGAAGTACTTAGTGAAGCATAATAAGTAAATGATAAAAATTTCAAAATAATTGCACTGCTTTAAAGCCCTTTGACCTTTAATAATGTGTGGATGCACCCTGATGTGCTACGCATTCTCCAACGCGCCTAGGCATGCTTCTGATCAGGTGGTCAATGTCCTCCTGTGGTATCTCATTCCAGGCAACCACCAACTCCTCTCGAAGTACTTCTAGAGTCTAAGGAGGACGTTGCAAATTGAGCAATCTCCTACCCATCATATCCCACACGTGCTCAATTGGGGATAAGTCGGGAGATCTTGGTGGCCATGGTAACAATGTGACATCATTATGTTGAAGAAAGTCTATTGTGACTCTTGCAACATGTGGTCGGGCATTATCTTGTTGGAAAGTTGGATCTGCCAGGGTGTCAAGATAGGGTAAAAGATGGGGTTCTAGAACTTCGTGGATATAACGCTGCGCGTTCATGTTACCTCTGATGAAGATTAAAGGTGACCTGGAACGATAAGCTATAGCACCCCAAACCATAACTCCAACAGTGTGATGAACATGTCTTTCAACAAAAAACTGTGGATTCCTCCTTTCACCACGTCGCCTTCTAACCCTGACACGACCATCGTGCATGCCTAAACAAAATCGAGACTCATCACTAAAGACAATACTGTTCCATTCCTGATCCCAGAGTGACCGTTGTCTGCACCACTCAAGGCGATTACGTCGGTGTTCTCGAGTTAAAGGGAGGACCCAGTGTGGCCGGTATGAAAACAAGCCAAAACTTCTCATTCGTCGGTAAACACTTCGCATGCCAATAGGTCTTCCGTGTTCTGCAAACCATTCATTTGCAATGGACCTGGTAGTGGAGAAACGGTCCCTTAAGGCCAATAATCTTAGGCGGCCATCTTCACGGTCTGTTGTCCTACGGCGGCGTCCAGTGCCCCTTGCTCTTTGCGTACGGCCTTCTCGAAGCCATGCCTGACAACACCTAACCACAGTGTCTACACTTCTTTGCACTCTAACTGCAATTGCCCGAAAAGAAAGTCCAGCTTCCCGAAGTCCCACTATACGGCCCCTATCAAACTTACTAAGTTGACGAAATCGTACAGGTCTCCGTACTCTAGGCATCGTAACCGATCGTAAAGGATGTCAAGAATCAAAATCCGCCAACGTTGATTCTTTACTGCGGCTGAAATATTCATTTTTAGAGCGTTAGTGAATTAAAAAAAAGCAGTATAAAAACCGGAATGTCCAACTGATAAGGCTGAAAATTTTTTCACTTGTTATTTACAGTAAGATAAATACATTCACCAACTTTTATTAAAATAAAACCATTTAAACTGGGTGTTCGGAGTTATATGTCACTTAGTATACATGCTGACAGTTTGAACAGCATTCGGGAAGTAGCTAGGAATTACTTAAACAATTTATGATATATTTCTCACTAGAGTATGTATCTCTTCCTCCTTTTTTGTTTGTTCTTTCCTATGGATAGAATCACCTGCTTTTTGTATGTTTTCTACTTTTGTTAGTTTGATTCATCTTTTCTTAGGATTGTCTTGTGAATGATTCCCTTAACTGTGGGGCAATAAACGTTATTTATTTATTTAATTTAACGGACATTGATGAAAATCGCATCGTTTATTTTTTTCAGGAATTGCAACGAAGACTTGACCAGACCCTGGGGAAACCAGGTAGCTACCTAGCCGGTATCGACAGGGTTGGAAACGTCAAACCCATGACCGTGGGGGCCAGATTATACAGGGTGGAGCAAAAAGTAAGTCGGGAAGATATGAGGTTAAGAGAACATTAAAAAGGAATTGGGGTAATAAATATAATAATGAAAAATCACATTCCAATCTTAAAGCACCCGAGACGTAGGTACCTATGTCCAAGGTTTATTTTTTTGGCAATTTTTTTTTTATTTTATTATATATACAGTGTATCTTGTTATACCTACAGCAAAGGTTAAATAGGGAAGATTTTATAGGGAACTCAGTGCATTCGATACTGGCTTCAATTTTACGTTCGATCAATTGGTTTTGGAAATATCGGCGAAAAAACGAAAATGTCGAATTTTGTTTTTTGCCAGTAAATCCGAAACGGTTAATTTGACAGCTGTCAAAATATGACATTATTAGGACATTCTTTTAAGGCAAATAAGATAGCGTGTATGACGTGTCTCGATCGTCTTTTGTTATCCCGCATCGTGCTTTAACTTTAATTTTTCTTAAGGATTTTACGATTTTTGAATAGAGCGTAAAACAACATTCAAGTCAGAAACTTCTTAAGATAGCAGTTTGATGAAAGAATAATTTCATTAAATGATTCGCCCTGTGTGATCAAATGTGGCGCTGCTGAACATTCTGGCAGGTCAAACGAAGGATCGGAAATTTTTACGCTTTCTGTACCATCAATTTCAGAATCGGTGGATTCGACTTTTTCATCCAAAGACCAAGATTCTGGTGGAACTGGGACATAAAGTTCCTCACTATGCTTAACGAGTCGCAAAGCTGATAGTAAATTAAAAAACCTAACAGTATGTTTCGATTTTGGTCCAATACCTTTAATATTTGTGACGCAAAAATAGCAATCAGTAGTGTGGTCTCTCGGTTCTCTCCGAACCGTTGGTACCGCAAAGGGCATTTTACGATTGTCACCTCTTAACCAACCTGTTAACAATGTTACACAAGTCTTACAACATATATAAGCGGCCCATAGTTTATCTTGGTCGCCAACTTTAATTCCAAAATAAAGTTCGTATGCTTTCAACACGAGTACGTTTTTGGGATTTAAAAGTTAGCTCTCCGCACACATAACAAGAACTGTTCGCACTATTTACACAATTTCTAGGCATTGTCCATAAAGCTAGTCTCGATCACAATAAACTAAAAACAACAGATCGTTTTAACAAAAATTAACAGTACTCAGAACATATCAGTACTCTTCAACCCAGAAAACGTAACTAAATCAGCTGCTATTAGTCTACTAATAAACGCAATATGCTCTCTAAACATAGAGCTCGCATATAATAAACAGGAATAGACAGGTCTTAACATTATATATGTGCGTCATCGCATAGACGCCGAGAAATGCAGCAATAAGATGTGTTACGTATTGTAATTCATAAAAGTAGATGTAAGGGTTTATCAGTGTAATTGATCAATAATTCTTTTTTCAGTTGGGATCAATGGACAAGAAGCTTGATGCTATCAACCAAGTGATATCATCTTTAGCACAAAATCACCAAATAGCAATACGTTCAACGGAAGAAAGTACTTAGGAGATGGAGTTACTTCCCTTCTTGTTGTGAAAACATTCTACAAGAACATTCGGGTACTCTTTTGCTAAGGAAGCAGTAAAGTAAATTAAGATATCTTAAGCACAATCATATTAAGCATTAGCCGATATTCATGATATCGTAGAGATGTCGGTTTTAAGCGGTATTTGAATCCACTAGAAGATAAAATCAACGATAAATGCTGATATAGAAAATTTTAAGATTTTCCTTATTATATTAGGAAAAAATATACAATTAGCGATGACTATTTTTAATAACTATAATGTGTGAATTTGTACATATCATGGTGATGAGGACTTTATTTGAATATCGTATGCCTTAGGGCCATATGCATAGTCGCTCGTTGAGGCCTCTTTGTTGTAAGCAAGCCTTAACGGGTATGTCACGAAAGATGACTATTACGTCATCATCAGCGTTGCCAGACGTACGATAATTATCGTTTCTGCACGATAATTTCAAGTACTGTACGATGTACGATACTAGGATAATAGCTGAATGTACGATAATTCTGCGAATGAGCTTTTTTACACACGGATGTTGAATCAATCTAACAACTACGTTCATTTAACACCGGCAAGCAGCCGTAGTGTTACCGCTTGGTAGACAAGCGCGCGAACCCCACTCTGCATAATGGGTTGCCTAGCATGACGCGGACTATCTCGGCAAACATCACCGGGGAAAATTGCCGTCAATCAGTTCTCACGTTCTACGTATTGACATGACGCGCATATTTTTATTTACCCATATGCATTAGATGAAATGAATGCGACGTCTCCCGTTTTTATGACTTTTGAAACTTGAAAATCAAAACACCGTTTTCAGTTATTTTCGATATTTAACCGGTTTCAATTCAGTAACGAACCTAAGGCACGGTGTAGGAGAATGTACGATAATTTGGACGTGTTTGTACGATAATTCCCTGCGACGAATCTGGTCATTATTTTAGTCTCTACTAAAGTCAAACGACAGCGATTTGTGGATATTTTTAAAGAAGTTTCAGATATGTTAGACAGAGACAAAAAGAATTTTATTGTCTTAACATGCTGTATTGCTAATTTGCAAGTATCCGACAAAGATAGACGCTGTTTTCATGTTACATGATCGATCATATTTGAAAGATGAATAGTTAGGTTATGTTAAAGCAGGTTAGGTTGTTTGTCAATTGATTAATTACTTCAGTATAATTTATGGTATGACGTAAAGGTCATCTTTCGTGATTTTGACTATAAGGAGGTATCAAATCGCAAGGAACTAGGTTAACTCTACACTTCCGACGCAATGCTGTCATCAATTCATGAAATATTATGTTCAACGCTTTTACAAAAAGTGGACTCACTGACTGGCAACCAGTATTACATCGATCTCTGTGCTATTTGTAGACAATGGCAGGGCTATAACGCAAAAAATCGATATGGCACAAAAATCGGTATAATGTCAAATTTTGGAAGAAAGTTCATTGAAAATTCTAATAATAGTTATTTATTCTTGAAACACAATACTAAGGCTCATAGGAGGTATAGAATAGAAGCAAAAAAAGTCAAAAAACCATGAAACAACATCAAGCAAAGGGAGGTAGAACGATTTTTTAACCGCCAGGGAAACAACATAGTTTGGTTTGAAATATGTATATTAGGGAGTCTCTGTATCTCTGCCAAGGAATATTATCGAAAGTTCTATTAATCGTCGATAGTCGTCTCTAGCAACTTCCTTGGTCAGTTCATGTCGATAAAATTCTAGCAGCTTGTCAATCCCTGAAAGCTTTTCAGTATAAATCTGCATTTTCTCGGTACCCACGCTTTTCTAGCTCCCGCGAAACATTTTAAATATTGGAATGGCAGGGCTTGTAGTCACATGGTCGATCTTTAATTCAAACACTTGATGGCGACAAGCAAACATCCTTCATCAAGTTTCTGTTCGAGAGGCACGCAGGCACCGTTAATGTGACCCGTATTTGAAGCAGTAGTATCTCAACAGAGAATCCGAACTTTATCTCCGAGATGCCAGTCAATAATAGCATCGCAAACTCGCTGAGGCTGCTCGGTATCTGAACAGTTATCCAGTTTGGGCACAAATACGGCGCCCTTGCAATAAGGAGGCCTCAAAGTGGAGGAACAACTATGAATTCACCCCTAAGAGCCTCCATTTGCGACTTACCAAATAAGCTTATTTTACAGATTTTTTTACATGTAACCATCTGGCGACATTCCATATCGTGAAAGGCACCAATTATTAAAAACCGGCAAATAGTAGAAAGTGTACATGTACATTCAAGCATTTATCAACTACTTGTTTTAAGAGGTAGCTGCAATATGAGAAGTATGCCTCAGGTCTATGAAGCGTCTTACCTCGGGTGTGGTTTCAATTAATGGCCAGTGAGATAAATAAATACATCAGCGAAACAATCACAGACAAGTAGACCAGGAAATGATAATAATAATAACCAACGTCTTTTTTGGGTGCGGTGAATTATACAGGGTGTCCGCAAAGTTGGGGTTGTCCTTTTCAGAAACAACTACCCTTGAAATAACAAAGGTAATGTGTAGTGAAACGAGGGCGACCAAGTAAAAAAAATAAAGGAAAAAGTACTCACCCTCCAGTTGACGAGAAGGGCTAAGTACGTCTCTGCCCGAAATCATACCGCTCCAACAGAAAATGAAATCAGCTGATGCGCTACCGAGCAGACGCAGGCGGTGGTGCAGACCACGAACAGAGGTAACAAATATGACGGCGATGCCGCGTTTTCAGTTTTTAGGTAAACGTACTTTATAGGTATTGTTCGAAGTTATCGCCGTTTGATTCAAAAACACAGGTGCGTGCACGACGTAGCCAAGCATCGGTGCAGGCTTTGAGAGTGGAGTCCCTCCCCCGAATGAAAGCACCAGCTTGTTCAATTCTGAGACGAAGTTCGTCAACCGTATGCACTTCAGTTTTGTACACTAAGCGTTTCATTTCTCCCCAAAGAAAAAAATCACATGGTGTTAAGTCTGGAGATCGCGGAGGCCACGCTACGGGTCCATTACGTCCGATCCACCTATTCGGAAATAATTCATTCAAAAACTGACGCACTTCGCGTCTAAAATGGGGCGGTGCACCAACGTGCAGAAACCACATTGATTGTCTTACACTTAATGGCACATCTTCTAACAAGGAAGGCAAAATGTTGCGTAAAAAGTCTAGGTATTGCATCCCGTCCAATCGATTTGGGAGAATAAATGGTGCAATGAGCATACCGTTCACCATGCCAGCCCAAACATTCACCGAAAATGTTTGTTGAAACTTGAGTGTTGCGAAAGTTAGTCACCCCATTACGCGTGAACGTAGATTCGTCTGTCACCAATATGCACTTCAAAAAGTCCGGATTATTGTCATGTTGATGCAACAACCACTCACAAAACCGCACTCTTGCTGGAAAATCGTCAGGTTGAAACGCAATCGATTATACGGGTTCGTTTACCTCTACACGCGTGACCGTAACCGTCGGTTGAAGGTTGCATACTGACCTGACACACTGACCCCGACCCAGTTCTGTCGTCGGGTTGAGCCAGTGACCTTGTACCACTCGGTGATGTCGCGGGTCGCGGCTACAGGACGGTATTCAGATATTTTTGATGTTGCAGAGCCCTTTATCTCGGTTCCCTTAAGACATTGGTGTATATGGTACTAAGAAAAATTGCTTATGTTTTCAAGATCTACACGTCGTGTAAAGGAAAACATGTTCGATGGGGAAGGGTCTGGAGATCGAGGAGGCCACAGAAGCAGATACATTCCGGACGCTTCTTGTTTATCCGATTTTAATAATGCTGACTCAATAATGTGTTGATAATCCACGACTAGACGAAACGCGTTTTGTCAAACTTCGCTCCAGGTATCCTGCCGCGCTACAACAATAATTTCGAGCGTTTGTTGCATGAGCCAAGCCCAAACCAAAACTCAAATGTAAACCTGAACCATTTAGCAAAGAACCTCCAGGAAACCTTTCCAAAATTTTTATTTTATAGGCTAAGTACTTATCGGACTGCGCTCGTATATGTGATAGTCGGTGCAATACCAGCAGAGAGACGGTCATCAAAATTTTCCCCCATAATCTACTTGACAGCAATCAAACGTATCCGAGATAAGATACTTCGTGGACTGATGCATGTATCTCGAACTACGACTATCTAAAACGATCTTAACGGCAATAAAATATCCTTTTTTCAAGGACTGTAGTAACGCAACATATCCCACAGTGTTAGTTCAAATGTTTAATTTTTTGTCGTTGATATAGATGGAAACAAAACAGATAGAATCATTGAGTCACGTATTCTTCTTGGCGATTGCCAACCCAAGAAATTATTCGAGATGAAATGAGATACCATAGGGTCATCTATGAGAATGTATCACATCTGTTTCTCTATTTAGGTTTGGAGTTTCCTTTTTACAAACAATTACGTTCGAAAAAGCAAAGGTAATGTGTGATCAACCAGTAACGAAAAAATAAATCAAGAAGTACTCACCGTTCATTTGAAGAGAAACTTCAAGTACGGCTCTGACTCTTATAAGTACTTTCGTGGAAAGTCTAGGCGATTCGGGAAAATAAATGTTCCAACGAGCATTCACCATGCCAGCCCAAATAATAAAAGAAAATGTTTGTCGAAAACGTGGCCGACGGACTACGTGAGAATTTTTCAATGACCACACAGTATTTATAATATAGACTGCAACAACCACTCACAAAAACGCAGAGATAAACAACTTTACTCGGCCTTGAAAGATAACGTCAAGTAAAGCGATCTGTATGCACTCGCGAAGCCTCGGTAGCATTTCGAAGTCGCACACCATAAGTTAAAATCACGTCGAAAAGCTCGATATAGCTGCAAGAGTGCGCCACTTTGACTGTTTCGAACCGATTAGTAAATGAATGTTTTGCTTACGCGTGGTATACTACTAGGAAAAACCGCTTATGTTCGCAAGATTTATGTGGCGTATAAAGAAAAGTCCTCACTTCGCGGACACAACGTATATAATTGAAAAGGCTGTATACCGTATTACCGGCTGCGCTCTATAAATGTGAAACATACAGTGACTTCAAAACGGCGTTTGAAACTATAAGAGATAAATTACTCACAAAATTGAATTACTATGGATTTAAAGGATATGTATTCAAAATTCTACACGACTACTTAATTGACAGAAGTCAAAAAA